AGTGGAACTCAGTAATGACAATCCCTCCCTCTCGGCATGAGGTAAATGTGTTTCTGTCAGGGCTCTTCAACAATCATCATTTCATCAACATGGCGCCTGAGTCCAAAGAGAGTCTGATTTGTTTTACTAATGTTCTGAAGGAGCTCTGCAGGAAGACGTGCAGGAACGTGACCTGCATGCCACTGACCTACCGTCCCTTCAATCATACAAAATCACTCCCGCTAGTAAGCAAAGAAGGTCAAATCTAAAAAGTAAAAGAGACCATTTTTATTGAGGACATCTTACATAAATGCTATTATTTATTCAGTGATACCCTGTCATTCAGAAGCAAGCGTAAAAACATAGGTTATAGCAGGATATGAAATAAGCCACTGAAATGCATTACATCGACTCTCTTTAAACACTTATGCAGAGCCGAATATTAAATCTGTAAAAAAACAATACCTTGCTAACAAAACGTGTGTCTTCTTGTGTGTTTAATGTTGTTGCTGTTTGAGCATGAAAAAGGTCTGCAAAGTTCACCCCAAAGGGAGTTATTCTCTATATCAGTAAGCACTGATTCTGTACTCCCTGAAACGCCTCGATTATAGTCTTGAGTTTTCTTCCGGGAATGAACATGTCACAATATTTCATTTAAATAAATCCCGGCCAAGGTATATGCAGAAAAAGGGACGAGGCCTGGTTGAATTGCGTTAGTGTGTTGCAACTCACGGTTATGGTAATAGGCGTGACATTTCCCAAACATGCTCGAAGCAGTTGACCAATCACAACACACTCGTCCAGGCGACCAATCAGAGCACATTACACTTTCGGAAGGAGGGGCTTCATAAAGACCGGAACTAATCAGGGGTGCGTTTCCCGAAAGCATCGTTAGCCAACTATGGTCGCAAGTTCCGTCGTTATCAGCATAGTTTACGAGTCAATGTTTCCCGAAACCATCGTTCCAGCGAAAATTCGCAAACAGCATCGCAAAGTTGTGTGGTTGGAACGACAGCTCTCGACCTGTGGTTAGAAGCATAGTTTCTTGTTTGCATGACATGTGGACTCAATAAATACTTATCTTGAGCCAATTAAGCAAGCTGACATTCAGTACAATCTATATCTTTTATTTAGAATACATACAAATTAAATTTACGTCTTTGAGTTTGTCAAGCGATTTAAAGCACCGTTTTTGAAGAGTGCGCAGGTGCGTACGTGCTCTAGTATGTAAGAACGAGCCTATTGAATCTGGAAATAAAGCAAATTAACTGAGAAAAATGAGAAATATTCCTCAGATGCCATGTCTGTAATTTATATCAAAACATCTAGCATTAATTCGATCTCAAACAGTTTCATTAAAATAAGTTATTACTCCACCACCTGCGTGACATCATTAACCAACGTGGTTGAACGACCAATTTGCAACAATACAGTTTCAGGAAACAGTCGTGACTAGCTAGTTCATTTCTTCAACAATGCATCGTACTATGGTAGTTAAGCAGAGTTACGTCGTTGTACGGGAGCGTTTCCGACAGACTGGAAAGATAGGTGCTTCAATAATGGAAAAAATTATGTTTTTTGAACATTCAAGCATAACAATCAAGACTTTGTAAAAGGGCCTCTTTAATGTATTAACGTATTTCTTATTGAAACCGGAAGTTGCAGTAGGACATTTAAAGCTTGAGCCTTTCTTGACAACAGACGAAAGCAATAAAGACAACAGATTTGATGTTCTGATTCAGAAGCAGGTCTTTATTTAAAGGGAATGCAACATTCTCATTCTAAGAGCATGTCATTTGACAACAATTAACATGCCTCTCCAAACAAGTTATTAATTTACTTATTTTTTGTTTCAATAAAAATTGTCTGCTAAAATTTAATTTGGTCAACATTTAGAAGTGCATTAGCATATAGATAACCTTAATGCAAACTCCTATTTTGATGTTTTTTATCTTAGAATTGTAATGTAGGTCCTTTTGACGTCCTTCTCAGAGAGTGGGCAGTCTCTTTACACAACTCCAATCCAAACAGTGAGGGCTAACAAGTTAATTTGTTGTCTTTTGTGTGTTCCGTGACTGAAAATTGAGCTTGAACAAAGCATACAATGGAGTATTCATTGTAGAGAGAGAGCAGGAAAAAGGTAGACCTACAGAATGTGTCGTCTGGCAGTAAGAACATAACAGGATTCTACTACTCTGAGATTGATTTTGTACACCAAGGTTGCACTATGGATCAGTGGTGCTGAAGTTGAAAGTATTTCCACAGCTAATGAAAGTCAGTGAATGCATAGCTAGTTCCATTAATGTCACGGTTAGTGGAAGACAGAGGACCGCAAGCTCTCAAAGCGAAGGAGTGCAGAAGAGATGTAGTGCACTTCTACTATAGTATTTCTCAATCGTAAAGTCACCAAAGATGCAAATACAGTTAAAAAAAATGCATTATATTATTTAACTGATTTACTCCTAATTTGGTTTTGTTTCGAGTTTGTCCCCCCCCCCCCCCCCCCCCCGTTTCCTATTTTCTCACTTGATTTGTTCTAGGTGTTACTTGTTTTTCATTATTTCTGTGTATTTGTGCATGTACAGTATGTTGTTCTCCTTTTATTTGTCTAGCTTCTTTTAATCAAACATATTGATTTAATTAATTTTCTCTCCAATTAGTTCTAGTTCTACAGATATTTCATTTATATTATAGATGTTTGTCCATTTAGAGGACTCTTAAAAGAAGGAATGTAAAGGAATTTAATGTATCCTTACTGGAAAAAAAGTATCAATTTCTTCTCACTGACCCTAAACCTTTGAACAGTAGCATATATCATAAGGTCATTTACATATAGAACTCATAGACTTTTCAGGAAAAACATCATGATTGATTCTAACGGCCATAATGAGGGTAGAACATTTTTATTTTAAACTTTCACTGTTTTTGGTGCAATAACCTTTGACCAAGTGCTAAAAAGTGTAGAATGTGTGGTCTTTTCAGGTCTAGTAGAGCTGCTATTGTTGTTTTACAACAATTAATTTCAGTTTTAAAGCACAAGGATGCCATACCCAGTACTGTAATGTTAATAGCCAATTATTAATCTACATATGTTCGTTTGGAAGAAGCCGGCCTCTCGGGTCAGCAGACCGTCTGTATCTATGCTCCAACAGAAAAGCCATTTCAGCAACGTTTCCTTGAACTTTCTTGTGCCCCTGTCATCACTGAAGAAGCAGGCTGGCTCTGGTTTATAATGGCCCAATTTCCAAAGTTATCAAGACAAATTTCATTAAAGTCTCCCTGCAGTCAATCATTTTATCACTTAAAACTCATGTTTGATCACCAAAATTACATATTTAAACGTTTTTTTCTTTGAAGAAAATCTTCATGCCTTAAAATAGCTTGAATGTAACTCTACACCCTTGACTGATTTAGTATACACATTTCTATGAATATGCAAATTAGCCCCTCCTCCTCTCACTCACACTAGCTCAGAGATCCACTCGTTGATGATCACACGTTGTCATGATTGGTTATTTTGTGACGTCAGAAACACCAGTGATATCGAACCACGTTTTTGACACTGTCTTTGGTTCACTGCAGTTTTAAGGAGAAAATACTCGTGTTGACTTATGAATTTCCACATGGTTTGTCTTAAAGCATATTAAAAAACACCACATAGACATAAACAACATTAAACGATGGATTTTCACCAGGGGGTCTTTAAGTTACTACAACTTAATAAAAAACAAAACATAAATTAGTGTTTAAATGCACAATATTAAGTTAATGTAATGATCAATAAGATGTCAACAGAACTTAAAAACTGTTTGCAACTTAAAAGGTTTAATTAAATCAGTAAATTCGATTTTTTTTTCTCGACAATTCATTTGTATAAGTTGTGGTAACAGGCCCTCTGTATTACTTTTTAGAGTGTGCATTTACTGCCTGTTTTTTCATATATTTTTATGATATGGAGGCAGACAGAGTCAGCATATTAGTGTGACTGGTGGGTCTCGAGGGAAGAACATATTTGCGCTCGATCTTCCACACATTCATTTATCATCCCCTGTTTCTCTCATCTCTGCACAAACTAATGGCCCTTAACACTTAATTGCTGTATCAAGCAAGATCACACACTTTCTATTATGAAGGGGGCAAACCTCATTGGGCAAGTAGGCGTCTCTGATAAAAAGCAGACAATTTTGAGCACAATGTGATGTTTGGACGAGAATGTTTAGATGGCAATACATTTGACTTCTTTCATTTGCTGTAAATTGCACATAATTTGTTATGGTTATATGCTCACTGTCACAATCTGGACTGGACTTCTCAAAACGGGTATATTGTGAATTAAATTACCATTTATAATAACTTGTTTTTCTATGTGAATATATTTTGCAATGTAATTTATTCATGTGATGGAAAAGCTGTATTTTCAGCATCATTACTCCAGTTTTCAGTGTCACATGAACTCATTCTAATATGTTGATTTAGTGCTCAGTTATTATCAATTAGTATTATTGGTTCATATTATTATCAATTCAACTTTTTTTTATCTTACCCCCAAATTTTGAAATACTAGTGCATCATGGTTTCCACACAAATATAAGGCAGTACAAGTTTTGTCAACATTGATAATAATTAGAAATGTTTCTTGAGCTCCAAATTAGCATGTTCTGAAGAATAATGTAAAACTGAAGACTGGCTGCTGAAAATTCAGCATGCCATGGCAAAAATAAATTATATTTTAAAAATATATTCAAATGCAAATAAGTTATTTTAAATTCTAATAATATTTCACAATAATTTCTGTTTTTACTTTTCATCAAATAAAAGCAGCCTTCTTTCAAAAGTCTTCTTTCAAAAACATTTAATCATTCTTAATTATTCCACACTTTTGACTGCCTTTGTAACTACCTTTATTAATCAAATGATAGGCATCTTAGCATCAGTTTTGCACATGCTCGAACCTTTTGTTCACACAATAGTAAAAGAAAAAGAAAAATAGTTGTAAATTTGTTTTACTCTCTCTATCGCAGGTGTGGCAGTGTGGCGGCAGTATGGAGGTTCTTCCATGTGCCAGAGTAGCGCACATTGAACGTACAAAGAAACCGTACAACAATGACATCGACTACTATGCCAAGAGAAACGCGTTGCGGGCAGCAGAGGTCTGGATGGATGAGTTTAAGTCCCACGTCTATATGGCCTGGAATATCCCCATGAATGTGAGTGAACGTTTTAGTAATCACCCTCACCCAACCTAATTTGTTTGAGTCTAGGCAGCCAATGGTTAATGGAAAATGATTGCTGTGATTAATTTTGTCCTGATTCATTTACTTGCGTGTCTTCTGTGCAAGGCACAGTACACAGAACAAGATTGTAGATTAAGTTTGGCTGCTTGTCAGAGTCAGTTTTAATGTCGTCCTTAACGAACAGTTTCAAATGCTACAGGTTTCATGCTGCAAAAACATAAGCTGTATGTCAATTTAAGTTTTTTATTAAGGGCACTCATGTACTTTGCAATTTCCAGCATTAGATGAATAAAATATAGATTTAATTGAATTAATTATGATTTGTAAACACAGGCCATTTTTCTTCCTGATATGAAAAAACTGTATTGAAAAGATAATTCAACCAGAGCCAGCACTTAAGTTATTAAAAGGTTTAATTGCATTGAAGTGTTTCAGGAATGGTCTTGGTCAATAAATGCAATGAGATACTTTACCTCTTAACAGTTATATCAGACAATTTTAAAATGGAAAGCAAGTTCATAATAGCCAAGTATACATTATTAATAGTTATTCATAATGCAGTAGTGTTCAATTCCACATGGTGCATTCCTGTCTATTACAAAAGTGCCCTCACTAAGCTTGTAACTGGTCTTCAGTACTCAATGATAGGGATGTTTATTTATAAAACACTTATCATAGTCAATACAGAATTTAGGCCTGTTTCACACAGCACTTAAACAGTACAGAAGCAAAGCAGCGACACACAGCAAATGCAACAGTAGGTTTTCATGCTTACAGTGTTTCTGTTGCGTATCCAAATGACAGATTTATACAGAAAATAAAAAGATTTCTTCGACCCCTACGGGTCCCACTTTATATTAAGTGGCCCTAATACCTGTGAACTTACATGGTACCTAGATATGTACTTAGTATGTAACTACAGTGTAAATACACATTGGTACATAGTATTTACAACTGTAATATTTGTGTAACTACACATATGTAACAACCCACGGAAAGGTATGTGTAAGTACAAATGTGTAACAGGACATTGGTAACAACACTTTTTCCACTAAAGTAAGTACACATGTGTAACAGGCATTATGTAACTACATTTTGTAACAACAATATGTATTCACACAAGTTGTTCCACTTCCACACGCAGTCTTTCATACTGTAGTTACCAGTTAAGAACACACTGAAGCCATGATGATTCCTATGTGTATACCATGTATTTACTATATGACCGGCAGGACTTATGTTGAATTGCAGCTAAAGTTTTCCCTTGTGGTACCAGTGTACATACATGATAACTCCTCAGGAACTGTCCACTTAATATAAAGTGTAAAATGGTCATAACTTACTGTGTATTATGCAAAACCCAAACCTCTGTGCAACTGTACTAACAGTGTACATACATGGTAACTCCTCAGGAACTGTCCACTTAATATAAAGTGTAAAATGGTCATAACTTACTGTGTATTATGCAAAACCCAAACCTCTGTGCAACTGTACTAACAGTGTACATACATGGTAACTCCTCAGGAACTGTCCACTTAATATAAAGTGTAAAATGGTCATAACTTACTGTGTATTATGCAAAACCCAAACCTCTGTGCAACTGTACTAACAGTGTACATACATGATAACTCCTCAGGAACTGTCCACTTAATATAAAGTGTAAAATGGTCATAACTTACTGTGTATTATGCAAAACCCAAACCTCTGTGCAACTGTACTAACAGTGTACTTACATGGTAACTCCTCAGGAACTGTCCACTTAATATAAAGTGTAAAATGGTCGTAACTTTCTGTGTATTATGCAAAACCCAAACCTCTGTGCAACTGTACTAACAGTGTACTTACATGGTAACTCCTCAGGAACTGTCCACTTAATATAAAGTGTAAAATGGTCATTACTTACTGTGTATTATGCAAAACCCAAACCTCTGTGCAACTGTACTAACAGTGTACTTACATGGTAACTCCTCAGGAACTGTCCACTTAATATAAAGTGTAATTGTTAGGGTCATTGTTGTGTACCACAGTAAATACAACCACAAGGTTACATAGTGGATATTAAACTCTGAAATATAAATGTGATAGTTATGCTTTGATAGATTCTGGGATATTACGGCATAGCACTTTTAAAGATTTACTCTTTATTTTAGATTTTTTTTATTTGACATTGTGGTGACCTATTTGCCTTTACAGTAAATTACAGTGTTCTGTAAACAATAAACAAGAATAGCATACACTTTAAAACCTTAAAAATACCTTGTTTAATCGTTTAACCATTTTGTAGTATTTAGTTCATTTACCGTGAGACACAAAAAGCGTTTTCTCCAATAAAACACAACATAAATTCACAAAAAACATAAATTGTATTAGCCTGATGTAAATGTAATCCAAATCTTTAGAATCCATACGTTGTTTGCAAGAAACAGATCCAAATTCAGCCCTTTATGATCTTCATCTCCATTTCTCAGCAGCGACCGCAAACGTCAAATCCCGCGCTCAGGCGCGCTGGTGATGAATTCAAATTAAAAAAATGCGCCTTCAAGAAGCGTTACGACATGTTTTACGGCCGTGATGTCAAACGCTCATTGGCTCTCGCCTGCTTCGTCACAGATTGCGACATGCCGTGTTTCAGTCGGTGTAGTACATTTGAAATGGAGAAGCGCGCGCGCCTTCACCATTGCCTTCACAGAGCGAACCGAAACCGGATTAACATTTTCATGGATTAATAATTTATACTCTGATCTGTACCTCATACACAACTGTTATAATACTGCCAGAGAGGACTGCGGCTCAGCGGCTGCAACGCATCATCATGTGAACGACGTCTTTTGGTACCGTTTTTTTTTAACATTTTTCGCAATAAACAAATTATTGTGAAATTTATAACGTTACTTGTCTGTCTGTTATGTTTTTATTTTCTGCATAAGTGTAACGTTAGCCTACGTAGTTTTAAGGAATGGTTATGGGTAGGTTTAGGGGTATGAGTAGGATTAGTGGCTCAAAATATATTTTAATGCTATTGTTAATAAAACTATGAGAGGTTTGGGTTTGCTGAGATGGTCTCTGTTATGACCGTTTTACACTTTAAATTAAGTGGACAGTTCCTGAGGAGTTATCATGTAAGTACACTGTTAGTACAGTTGCACAGAGGTTTGGGTTTTGCATAATACACAGTAAGTAATGACCATTTTACACTTTATATTAAGTGGACAGTTCCTGAGGAGTTACCATGTAAGTACACTGTTAGTACAGTTGCACAGAGGTTTGGGTTTTGCATAATACACAGTAAGTTATGACCATTTTACACTTTATATTAAGTGGACAGTTCCTGAGGAGTTACCATGTAAGTACACTGTTAGTACAGTTGCACAGAGGTTTGGGTTTTGCATAATACACAGTAAGTTATGACCATTTTACACTTTATATTAAGTGGACAGTTCCTGAGGAGTTACCATGTAAGTACACTGTTAGTACAGTTGCACAGAGGTTTGGGTTTTGCATAATACACAGTAAGTTATGACCATTTTACACTTTATATTCAGTGGACAGTTCCTGAGGAGTTACCATGTAAGTACACTGTTAGTACAGTTGCACAGAGGTTTGGGTTTTGCATAATACACAGTAAGTTATGACCATTTTACACTTTATATTAAGTGGACAGTTCCTGAGGAGTTACCATGTTAGTACACTGTTAGTACAGTTGCACAGAGCTTTGGGTTTTGCATAATACACAGTAAGTTATGACAGTTTAACACATTGTATCAAGATGTTGCCTGAGGAGTGACCATGTATGTACACTGGTACCACAAGGGAAAACTTTAGCTGTAATTCAACATAAGTCCTGCCGGTCATATAGTAAATACATGGTATACACATAGGAATCATCATGGCTTCAGTGTGTTCTTAACTGGTAACTACAGTATGAAAGACTGCGTGTGGAAGTGGAACAACTTGTGTGAATACATATTGTTGTTACAAAATGTAGTTACATAATGCCTGTTACACATGTGTACTTACTTTAGTGGAAAAAGTGTTGTTACCAATGTCCTGTTACACATTTGTACTTACACATACCTTTCCGTGGGTTGTTACATATGTGTAGTTACACAAATATTACAGTTGTAAATACTATGTACCAATGTGTATTTACACTGTAGTTACATACTAAGTACATATCTAGGTACCATGTAAGTTCACAGGTATTAGGGCCACTTAATATAAAGTGGGACCTTAAATGTTTATATTTTATTTTACAGCATTAAATTATTTTATTTTATTTTCCAGCATCAAATTCATAAAACATACATTTAATTGGATAAATTATGGATGAATGCATTATATTTTATTATTTTATTTTATTTTTCAGCATTATTCTTTTTTATTATTCTTTTTATTTATTTATTTATGTATTTATTATTATTATTATTATTATTTATTTTTTATTAATTTATTTTATTATTTTAGCAACTGTAGTGCTGCAGCCCTGCCAGGTCACAACTACTGTAGTCATAGTACGATTGCAGCCATGTATGTGTATAACAATGTTATTGCTTGACTGAATTAACTGCTAAAATGCATTTGAAATACAGTCACTTTCATTTTTGCTTACTGATGTATGACTTCATTGCTTCTGTTGTAAACATAAATTTAATTTAATGTCACAATAAATTGTTACCCATCATTACACACCTATCAATTTAGCTTCTACGTGTGTAAATATTTCAAGCCTCACATTGTAAGTGCTTTGTATTTTAGACACTTTAATTAACGGCATCAAAACCAGTGGAAAATATGGATGAATATTGAAGGCTTCTCAACTGTTGGGTGCAAGCCTCTTTAAAATATGGGACAAACTGCATTCGGTATGCATTGAACATAGTTGTGTTTCCTGAACAACAGAACGATTTTTGTATTATACAGGATGGTTGGCAACCCTACTCCTATTAGTACTTCCACTGAGAATCAGATATTGAGTTTTAGATTCTGAGCGTGTTTTTGAATACCATTAGAAGTTCTTTGCTTCAGTCCACTGAGCAGTTCTCCATGCTTACTTGAGCCCACTCGCTAGCGCTGGTAATTAAACAGATGATTAGCATGTTAGCGGCTCCTAATGAATGAACAATTGCAGTCTCCCATGACTGACATAAACGCAAACACGCACTCCTCCTGTTCTCCCTGACAATTTTCAGACGGATTAGAGCTCTTTTGTTTATGTGCGATGGTCTGATGATGGAACACGGTGAATATGAAATTCAAATGATGAATACGAACTACCAGAACCGACTTTCCTAAGGTACATAACTAGTCCATAAAAAGCTTGAACAGTCAAGGAAGTTAACAGCAGGTTGCGGAAAATGTAATCCCATTAAATTAATAAATGAACAGTTCTTTAATTAGCGGGCTAAATTCATAACACCATTTATTATTAGTGTGACAATAAATCCTAACAACACTTCACTTGGGGTAGTTGATTTATCTTTTTCCAGCATTATATATATATATATATATATTAATTAACTATATATATAAAACTTAACTTTCTGTTGTTCCAGAACCCAGGAGTGGATTTTGGAGACGTGTCGGAGCGCGTAGCACTGAGGACGAAAATGAACTGCAGGAGCTTTCGCTGGTACCTCGAGCATGTCTATCCCGAGATGAGAATTTACAATAACACCATCACTTATGGAGAGGTAATAAAGACAAACTAACCCCTTTATGCACCTTTCAAAACAACCAAACCTTTCATAGAAATGCACGTGCTTTCATACACTGTTAGTTTAATGCCTCTGTACTCCTGTGAAGAATCCATCATTCTGTTACACTTTGTTTTTGGCAGGTTTTAAAGTAATAATGTCACTTCAGCAGCTTGCTAAAGATTTGAAGAATATACTAAGCACCTGTGAAGAAAGGACCATAATAGATAGATACAAATTGATATTATTTATTTGACTAAATCTTTCTAAAGTAAATAACATTTTATACTATAGTATATTGCCATTTCCATATGATTACATTATTTAAGCACTGCAAGTTGCATTTTTGGACCGAATGGCAAAAACTGCATAAATCCAACAGAAATTTAAAGGTAATTGGTTTCCATAGCAACAGTGTAGCAAGCATTGGGATTAGCTCCAATTTCCTCATAATGAGATTTAATGAGGCCCTTATTAACTATAGAGTGTGTGTGGGTTGAGGGAGGGAGGGAGTGAGGAAGGGAGGAGTGTGTGTGTGTGTGTACTGGAAATCTTTGACCTTGTGGGGACATTTTTTGGTCTCCATGAGGAAAACCGCTTATAAATCATAAAGAAGAGTGTTGTTTTTTTTGTCGAAAATGTAAAAATGCAGAAAGTTTTCTGTGAGGGTTGTGTTTAGGGTTGTCTATGAAAAGTCTCAATAAAACATGGAAACCCAACATGTGTGTATTAGAATTCAACAGGCCTAGATCTCAATAGAAGAGAAATCTAACAGCGTTTTCAATTTGTTGGAGAAAAAATGAGACCTGCATTTCTACATTGATCTCTGGAACTGCAGGGGCGGAAAATCTATAGCTGTATTGGAATAGTTTGTCTCTGAAAATATCCCCGCTAGATCACAGATTCCACATATCTCATCCTCTGCCCAGTATTAGGTTTTATGGACGGTCAATGTTGTCATCTCCCAAATAGATTTGACAAAGCATGTGTATGTGCAATTATATTCAACCTTCAGAGCAGCACAAATGCTATAGGCTTAATTGGGTTACTTAATAGTACACTGTGCTCATGCTTCATGATTTAGATGTCTGTGTTTATTATTGTTTATTCATTTTTCAGGTGCGAAACAGTAAAGCCAGTGGGTACTGCCTTGACCAGGGGTCAGAGGAGGATGACAGGGCCATACTTTACCCATGCCATGGCATGTCATCACAGGTAAGTGTTTTTTGTTGTTGTTGTTTGTTTGTTTTTGTATAGGTCAGTATCAAGTTGATCAAAAGTGACAGTTAAGACTTTTAAATTGTTGCAAAAAAATTCTATTTCAACTAATACATTTCAGGAATACATTTTAGCTTAGTATATATACCCTTAAATTAAAGCGCATAATACATTTTTATATTAATAAAAACAATATTGGTGAAATTTGATATTTGCAGTCACTGCATAATTCTTATATTTCCATGTGTTGATATGTCATAGTCTTCATTTAGTAGTGGTATATTAACCACCATAGACATGAGTGGGACATGTTTATTATATTAGTAGTCGCCTGATTTGTTTTGTTTTTTCAATGGTAAAAAAAAAAAAAAAAAAATCCCCTCAATCTTGTTCTCAATCTTCATGTGGTTACATCATTGCATTCGCATTACATTTATGCCCTGAACAGACAGCAAAAATCTTGTTACTGGCAAATGCATGGACAGGGAGCCAAAAATATGCCACATTTGTAAAGATAAATCACTATATCAATTTTGACATATGCAGCGGTCTGGAGAGGGAAAAAATTCACCATTTTCACCAGCACATATTGATGCCAATTGCAAGAGTTAAATGAGATTTGTAATTGAAACATCTTGTCAACCTCAATGTACTCTTATTTGACATTGCCTGGAGACAGAGAGCCTCTTAGGTTGAAATTACCTGTTGATTGTATCTCAATTTCTGTGTCCTGTCCTTTCATAACTGCCTCCCTTGCAAAGCAGTGGTTATAAGTCATTAGTTTGTGTGACTTTGACATCTGACATTTTTGATTCATTCGGATTAAATGGATGTGGAATAATCAAACAGTTTTTCTACCGGGCTATGACCTTTGACAGTGTGATGTGACCTTTTCACTGTCATCCATGCACAAGAGAGATATGATCCTTTGAACAATTTAAAATACAATCTTTCTCTCTCTACTCCCCTCTTTCTCTCTCTCTTTTCCTCCCCCCTAAATCTTGTAAGGGAATGACAGCCTTAGTCCATAATCCAGGCCTAAGGAAAATAAAGCAATTGAAGTATATTCCCATTGTATCATCAAATTACAATAAAGTCTGGTTTTACATGATACAGCTAAGCTTAATTTTTTTCCCAGGTTTTTTCATTTCCTTGCTCAACGATGTTTAAATTAAATTAATCCCAAATTCATAGTTAATATTGGTTGTAGCATTACAAATTGAATCAGAAACATTTTTCAAAGTGTTTTATGGTGTCTGGTATGAATAATTGCTGTGGCTTGATTGTATTATTTGATCTCTAAGATTCTTGGAGAAAAAATAAAGGTTGATCATTTTTTCCTTTCATCGTTTTGATTGTCAAACATTTTCAAACAGCGTGCCGTCTCATCCTTTTAATGAAAAATCCTTTGTTGCTTCGTCCTCTATGAGCGCTTCTGGTACATCATGTGGTATATAATCGGGTTACAGTACGCATGAAGATGAGCTTACTCTATTGTCCTAGTACTGTTTTCACCTTGGTCACTGGGCAATTACCCTCGGTTCTATAGATTAACTTTACTCAATAGAGCGAGCTTGATTTTCAATGAATGTCAACTTGTACTTCATTGTGATGTGCCGACCTTGGGATCTGATGTCTGAGAGATTGACTTTCAGCTGAATTATTGACCTGTGTTATTCAGTGCAGTGTACTTACCGTAATAGATAGCTGCTATCTAGACTTCCATCTCTCTGGCTAGTTTGTGTAAACTCTAGTATGATGGTGGTTTTAATCATACAGCTAAGCACTGCTCATACCTGGAGTTTTCTTAAAGGAACAGTTCAGCTTGTGACGTACTTGATGTCTGGATGAATCGCCTGAGGTTTTAAATGAATCACATCATGTTTATGGTTATGTGTTGATATATATATATATATATATATATATATATATAAAAATCCAACATGGGCAAAAAACCCCCCAAAAAAACATAAGTGTTCAAAACTAAAGAGTTGAACACACAGGACAAGATGGTTATTGTCCCTTTTAAACTTAAAGGGATAGTTCACTTTGAAAAAATTTTTTGGTATGTTTTAGCTTACCTCAAGGGCATCCAAGATGTAGGTGTCTTTGTTTCCGCAGTAGTTTCAATTGTGATATTTTTAGGTCAAACTGTTCTTGTCTGTCAGTCATATAATGCAGGTCTATGGTAACTTCTTCAAAGAGCATGCAGAGAGAAGTCCAAATTAAACATGATTTAATGACTCGTAAATGTAAGTACACATTGATGGCCTAAGACATGAAACGAGCGGTTTGTGTGAGAAAACGAGCAGTATTTATATCGTTTTTACCTCTTTTAAACAAAGCCACGTCCAAGTGATCTGAGGGCGCGGGCGCTTCGGTCTTTTCCGGCAAGCGCCGGAAAGCGCCGGAAGTGATCTCTCGCGCGTATACGTCACTCATTGTTTACACAGAACAGAGATTGTAGGTAAGACGGCTAATTAAAATGGTACTAATTTGCGCTTATCCAGGATGTTTAAACCGTCGTAAAAGAAAACAATTAAAATAAAATAAAAAATAAAACAATTGTATGAGTGACGTACACGCGCGAGAGATCACTTCCGGCGCTTGCCGGAAAAGACCGAAGCGCCCGCGCCCTCAGATCACTTGGACGTGGCTGTGTTTACAAGAGGTAAAAACGATATAAATACTGTTCGTTTTCTCACACAAACCGCTCGTTTCGTGTCTTAGGCCATCAATGTGTACTTACATTTACGAGTCATTAAATCATGTTTAATTTGGACTTCTCTCTGCATGCTCTTTGAGGAAGTGACCATAGACCTGCATTATATGACTGACAGACAAGAACGGTTTGACCTAAAAATATCAAAATTGAAACTACTGCGGAAACAAAGACACCTACATCTTGGATGCCCTTGAGGTAAGCTAAAACATACCAAAAATTAATTTCAAAGTGAACTATCCCTATAAGTCTTAAGAGTGTTTTACACTGCACTAATGCTGAAATGCGCCAACCACTAATAGATTCCAGGTTGATGTAGGGGACACATCATCAGTTGTGTACCTTCGCATCGCTCTGCAAAGGCAGGCCCACCCTAGGCTGATCAGGCCTGGGTGTGTGTTCCCATCATCTTGGGCCTCTGACTGCAGTGTTTTGCTGTAGTTGCTGTTTCTTTGATGATCTGGTGCAGGGCTTGGCCGTGGATTCCCAGCTCTGATGGTCCATGTTGCCAATCTCTACCGGACAGACCAATGCTTTCCATCCTGTAAACTAGCTGAGGTGTAGGGTATAAATCTTTTACTATAAAATATGATTTTTTAAAAATGGTTAATGTTAGTTATTCTATAGCCTGTTAATGGGTAGCGGGACATTTGGTACGCTTTTTATTGCCTTTTTTACCCATCACATATTTTAGTAATCATAAATTAGGTATCATTCGAATGATATGAAAGTTTCGTCTTTTAAAACCTTTTACCTAATTTTTTGTGATAACTTCAAATTTGGAACACAACTTGGTTAGACATGGTTTTTATTTTCTAGTAAGTTCAGAGTTCAAATTATTTTTAATAATATATTTTGCATGAAATAAAAATTTGTTTCAAGTATACTTAAACTTCTATAACTTTCATATTTTGAAGACTTTTACACTAATCTTCTGAGTGTCTTTAAAAAAAAATAAATAAAAAAAAATAAAGAGGCCAACCTTACAGTATGTCTGTATTCTAAAGCATTCATGAATTACAACAATTTATGCTCAAAAATAAAATTACATCAATTTTCTCATCTCCATGTTGTTCCAAACATTAACTTTCTTCTGCAGAACACAAAATAAGATATTTGGAAGAAACTGTGAAAACCCACTGACTATGATTATATGGACAAAAAGACACTAAGTCATTTTTCGTGCACAAACTTCTTTTGTGCACCAAAGAAAGTCATACAGGTTTGAAATAACATGAATGTGAGAAAATGTAATTCTCATTTGTGGGTGAACTATTCCTTTAAACTGAATCTACGATCTTCCTTTTCATTTTATACATCACATACTTTCTTTTTCTGACCATATCTTTTTTTCTTTCTTTTTTTTACGCATTGTAACTTGATGTTTCATTTCAGCTGGCAAGGTACACCACCGAGGGCTTATTGCAGTTAGGACCCTTGGGGTCGACTACGTTTCTGCCTGACACAAAATGCCTGGTGGATGATGGAAGAGGAAGGACTCCCAGCTTGAAAAAATGTGATTCTGTCACCCGGTCCTCCCAGAGGCTCTGGGATTTTACTCAGGTAAGAGAATGCACTCATACAAAACAATTTATTCATAAGCTTGCTGAACGCTTCATACTAATATTTTATTTTCCACTTGAGACTTAAGTATTTGATTTCCCTAAATGAAGATTGTTGTTTTGTCGAAGAAAAGCATCAAGTGTTTTATATTAGATTCTTAAAATATACTGTATATTTTATTATAGCACACTTGCGTTCAAAAGTTTGGGGTCTGGGAGATTTTTATAATGTTTTTGAAAGAATTCTCTTATGTTCACCAAGTCTATATTTATTTGATAAAATAGATTAAAACAGCAATATTTTGTTAATATAAATACTTAGTAATATTTTGTCTTAATAGAGACAGAAAACTAATAAAAAGGGCAAAAACACAACAAAACTGCTAAAACTTTAACTAAAATTAAAATGAAAACAGAAAAAATAATGTTATATTCGTGACACTAAAATACTGTTTCAGAAATCATTCTAATATGCTGATTTGTTGCTCAAGAAACATTTCTTATTAGAAATGTTGAAACCAGTTGTGCTGCTTAGTATTTTTTGAAAACTGGAAAAAAAAAAAAGTTAAAAAAATTCTGGATTCTTCGATGAACAGAGAGTTCAGAAGAACAGCATTTATTTGAAATAGAAATATGTTGTAACATGTTTTTATTGTCAATTAATTCAATACATTTTCTTTTAAAAAAATCTTACTGTCCCCAAATTTTTGTAGGTAGTGTGTGATGCCAGATATATTTATATATTAAATATATTTACAGTGTTTTTGAATATTTGTTTCTTAGAATGGGCCCATCATAAGTCGAGACACAGGACGTTGTCTGGAGGTTGAAATGTCAAAAGATGCGAACTTTGGCTTGCGGCTGGTCGTCCAGCGCTGCTCAGGGCAGAAATGGATGATTCGGAACTGGATAAAACACCCCAGACACTGAGGAACATCCAACCTGATAAATAACCTCCCTGAGCTGAAGAGAATCCATAGACAAACCCTGGAGTATGGGGTTGAGACAGAGGAGATGAACTCGCGTGCAAGATACTCTCTTTCAGGGTAAAATGCTTTTAATATAGACGTCCAAAGGTGGAATATTATCTTTGGACGCATTTACTGTTGAACGAGCAGCTAAATCAGAAGACCGTCATCACAGGAGAAAGACTGGTTCATTGCAAGTCCACTGTTCAGACTCCCAGCGTACTACAGCATAATTCTGATGAGCTGTTATAGTGAAATTCCAAGAGGAAAATTCGAAAGAGTTGCGGAAACAAAAGTCTTGAGTTTTACTTCTTATCAATTGCCATATCAACACTTATTTCTTCAGGCTATGAATTGCTTTGGATAATTGATTATCCACATTGAAACTTTAATCCCAAGTGCTACAAAAAAAAAAAAAAAAAAAGTATAGACTTTAATCTGACAATAGTTTCAGCTATTTTATCTATTGAGTATTTTCTTTCCTTTATTTACAGACTTATTTGCTAATGCACAACAAAAACCATGTGTTCACTCATGAACTCATGTGCCTTTCTCCATCTTTATGCCATCAGACCAGGGAATGTTCCTCCCTAAGCATGTACAAAATGTTTGATTTTTAAATTAATTAAAACATGAATATAATGTTAAGAGGTCTTATTGTAGAAACACGTTGTAAAATACTCAAAACATGATAATCCAGGAAGATCAAAACAATAAAAACAAGTTTTCTTTTCTTTTGGACAATGTTGTATGATGTATTTTATGTGAAAATCAGTGCAGTGAAATGTCAGTTGTTTCATATTGTAGAATAGGTGACATCACATTTGGAAGCGATAAGGCCACATTCATACAGCAGCAGAATATGGTTATCAGTCCTGTATTTGAGTCCTTAATACGGTTACATTCACACACACACACAGTACGGTTATTTACCGGAGTGACAACTGCATTCTCAGAAAACCTGCACTGTGTGAACGGAGTTGCCTGTCACAAACAGTGCGAGAGGCGCTCTGCGCTGCACAAATGCGTGTCTACAATGTGTCATGGGTTTTCATGTGTGGTTTCGGTAACTTACAGCGACAGAGATATGAGCCGTGTGTCATCTGAAGGTTGTAAATCCAGTCACTGTTCTCTACCAAAGCTGCTCCCGTCAGTTGTGTGTTCTATGTGCAATGGAGGTCAGGTTCGAATCCCACTCGGAGCAGGTCGAGTAGCAAGTAGGACCAGTTACATTTGGTGCCGTGACCCGGATGGGGGGTGAGTGTTACGCCCTCTGCCCAGATATACAAGCTGCATATATTGGCTCTCGTCGTGTCAAAAGTGAAAGATTTTTCAGTTTTATGGACCTCGCCATCTTTGACATTACTTTGGTCACAGTCGCTATGGTTACTGGTAAGAGAATATAGGCTTGACTACACAGTATTCGAGATGCTATTGTAAGTTGCTGTGTGAACGGGACATTTGAGATTACTTACACCTGTAAGTAAATGTGGTCGTCAATACCAAAAACTATACAAGGATTTGATTTTAGTACATGTTTATGAAATTTTTGACTTTTCACTGATAAATCGATCAAAGTAAGACCATAAATGTGTGCTAAAAAGTGAATCTTGTTTATTTTTTTTGCCTCCTTTTGCCTTCTTTGTATTCTCTAAATCTTGGCATATTTGTCGATGTCCAGAGGCCTGAGAAACTAGTTGGTTGACACAGAAAAGACAACCAAACTAAAGCTTTTCATTTACACACACTTTCCCCACAGGATGTGCAGTCTAATCATTACAAACCACACAACACACAATCGGAGCGCTGAGCGCTTTTCAAAGGGATCAATCTCAGCGCGCAGCTTCTTTTTTTCCTCTTAATCAAACTCAAAAACTCTCGAAAATAAATGTTACTGCTTTTCATTGATGTATGCATTCTTTTTTCCTCTCTCATCTGCAGAGAAAGCCACTCGATTACTTTCCTCTCAGGTATTTATTGTAGTCCTGAAAGAGAGCACAATGTCTGACTACTGCAGAAAGAAGCCATCCAACTGTAAGCACTTCTTATATGACCACCTGTGTGTTCTCTAGGCATTTTTTTTGTTTTCCAGAGTGTTGTTTAGGGTTGGGAATCTGAAAAAAAAAATATTCAAATTCTGGAATCGAATACCTAATGTCAGAAATTGTATACTTGTAATAAAATAAAAATTTCGATCCCGCTTATCGATTCCTGTGTGTGCATATTAATGTGATTTTTAACCATTTTCAAGCACAAGAAGACGCGAAAGAGAACTCAATTCGGCTACACATACTGTTTTCTTTACGCACACATCCAAAGTCTGCCTCTCATAGTGCATAATAGTGAATTGGGTTTTCAGTTGTATTTATTTTTGCCAAAAAAAAATTGTCTTTAGTAATGTTTGAAATTTATATCGGTTAGTTGTTTTTGTTAAAACTGGTTAAAAATGGTCTTTTTGTTAAAACCATAGGAAAATGTTAGTGTTCTTTAGGCTGCTGATTTTTTTGTAGGCTGAGGATTTTTGTTCATGGAAATCAGTGGCAACAAAACATTTTGCCAAAAGACACAGAATAAACATGTTTGATATAAATGTTTGGCTAAATGTTTTTACCTTACTGGAATCAAAAATGGGAATCGAAAAGAATCGGAATCAATAGGCAGAATCGGAATGTCTAAAATTCTAACAATTCCCAACCCTTGTGTTTACTAAGAGAGATTGCAGAAACCTGCTATGCCAGGCTTCAGCTGTTCAGCTTGAATGGTTTCCTAAACAAGCGTCTTCTCCCTCCACTCGTCTACAAGGAGAAGATCTTATTTAAAACCACACTGGAGACCCAACAAACGCTGTCGCTGCAAATGTGCCCATAGCAGGCATGTGGTGCAATGAAACAAATAGGAGAAATATATAACCAGGCTGGGGCGCTTGTGTTTTTCCTCATGCTTTTTACACATGATGCAGTTCAGCGATGAAGTCATAGGGGGAAACGCACAGTGAGCACGCACCAATGAATCATTCCACAATCTGCTTCCTTCAGGATGACCAAATAATGCAGTAGACCTGCTGAGTCCTGCACTCTGAGCCAGTAGTGTGAAAAACACAATTTTGTAGTTAAAAAGAATAAGTCCTTTTTTTATTGAATAAGTAAAAGAAAACTTGTATGAATTAAACTGTAATTTACTTGTAATTAGGATGTTTTTGTTATATTTACAAGCGATTAAGAATTGATCAAGATGTTGAAAGACAATGTAATTGGTAGTTTTATTTACACTCTTTGCTGTTATTGATTTGTTTGTGCCACATCTCATAATTACAGCTTGTGTTAAAAAAGAGTTAATGACAAAAAATAATTCTATTTGAAATAAATGCTGTTCTTTTTAACTTTTTCAATTCATCAAAGAAACCTGGGGAAAAAAAGCTAATCACTGTTTCCACAAAATTATTAAGCAGCACAACCGTTTCAACATTGATAACAATAAGAAATATTTCTTGAGTGCCAAATCATCATTGCTGCTGAAAATATAGCTTTTCCATCACAGGAATAAATTGTATTTAAAATCTAAAACATTGTAATATTTCCTAAAATAATTTTACTGTATTTTTTATTTAAATGCATATAAAAACACAAGCCAACACATTCTTTCCTGTGAAAGATAATCCCATTTCTTCGGGAATTTATATCTCGGTGGTTTCATAACCAGAAGCTGTGCAATGTTGTGGCATCATTGATTCTTATTGTTCCAAGATGGCGGACTCATCGACGTGTCTGAAGTGGTGGAATGTGAAATCTACGTAAACATATAAATGGTTTGCTGAGCAAAAGGTGGATAGCAGTGAAATTTGGTTATTTATGATAAAGTTCAAATCCAAACATTGCTGTGGGGTGATTTTACAAAACTGATGAGATACTGACATTCCCTGAGAATAACCCCCAAAAAATTGTTTTCAAGTAGGTTTCCAAAACACTATTACTGCCCCTTCCACTTGCCCCCCTTTCTGCAGTGATGTGAACATTTAGTTCCACCCTAAACTCATGCCATTGGAAGATCAATAAGTTGACATATGGGAGCTCGCAAACAAGCACAGCACAGCATCTCCATGGAGTCACAGTGTTTACAGTCTTTGGGGAAATTAGCCTACAAAAGGCTTACTTTGTTTCTGCACATTAAACTGTGACAGGAGAAGTTTAGGTGCTTTTGAATACCATGCATAAAATGTCCCTCTGCCTGACAGATATCACTGAAATAAGTGTCCTGAGAATTCACATAGTCTCTGTGACAGCCATAGGCTTTGTAAACAACAAAATATTGGGTGGCCACTGCCAGCACATCCCCCCCCCTTAGCTAATTAAAAACTTAGCCAACAGAAGACATTCTTTATATCTCTTCCATTTATGCCTTCAAGTTTGTAAAAAGAGTTTAGCTCTATAAGTGCAAAGGGAGGCAGAATTTGGCTGGTGAGAGTAACTACATCATCTGGTTCCAAGCATTCTTCTACATTGATGCACATTCAGAAATATGCATACTTTGTCTAGATACACTTTTTAAATATGTCACACATTTTTAATTTTATCATATTATAGTATTTACAATAGCTGCTTTAACAATAATCTTTATTTATTAATATATATATATATATATATATATATATATATTAACAAATTTTTTTTTTTTTTTAATACACACACACATATGATCGGTCACAATAAGATCTACAGTATAACACACATTTTCAAAATACATAAGGTGAATATTCCCTTGATGTTGACTATAAACCCTGGCTGCTCCAAAAGACTATCCTGTAAATAAAATACTAAATATTAAATACTAAATACTATAAACCCTGGCTGCTCCAAAAGACTATCCTGTAAATAAAATACTAAATATTAAATACTAAATAAACCCTGGCTGCTCCAAAAGACTATCCTGTAAATAAAATACTAAATATTAAATACTAAATTCCTTTAACAATGATTCGTTTAACAAATTCTAAAATATTCACATTAAAGGGATATAGTTCACATAAAAATGAAAATTTTGTCATCATTTACTTGCCTCCAAGTTGTTTCAAACCTGGGGGAGACCGGGGACAGTTGCAACACTTTTTGTATTTGGCTCTGTTACTCAGAGATGGTTTGGATTAGACAAACCAATTGTTTATACAATAATCTTACATCTGTCTGTTAATAGTCTAAACCATTTAAAGATAATTACAGAATCTACATTTTTCACAATTTGCATTTGAATGTAAGGAGTCAGATGTTGCAACTGACCCCGGGCCCGGGGATAG